CATATATCTGCCAAATAATAATCTCGGAAGTGTCTCAAACTGATTTCAAAATGATGCCCTGGACACAAACCCAAAGCCCACCAACACAGGCCTTATTGTCTTATTCTTCAGCAATTGTATACCTTCCACGCTCATTCTTCAACTAGCCAGTGTTCTAGTTTCAAGATACTTTTTTTCTATGACTTTGTATGATCTTTTATGATCCCTACACTGGAAAGTCAAAACATGAAGGATCTACCTAAATTGGTGCTGCTAGCTAACTGGATGTGTGTGGCTGTGGTATATGCACTGGAATGTTAACCTATGATGAATGGTTCAGCCAACTACAGAATATGCCAGAACTATTTCAATGAATGAGAAGAGTGGAATATCACTTCCTTGTAAGTGGTAATACTGGCCATAAAAGCACCGGTTTTTGAAAGATTTGAGAAAGATTGAAACATCTCTGTCCAGCTCTATTTTCTTTAGCCTCAAATGTGCTACAGTGTGTTCTCTTATGTTAATAAAAGTAATTACAAATAACATTAATGGAAATACTGCAAAGGGTGGTGTTTTTTTTTTATTATGTTAACCTCATGGCAACAAGAATTTATGGCACTAATTACTGAACTGTCCTCTCTATTATAAATCTCTGGCAAGAAAAGTTGGCTTTCACTACATGTACAGGCATGCAGATGGCAATTTCCCTCCCATAATCACTATGCCAGGATCTCATAAAGAGATTACATCAATTGTGGTATATCAGTCTAAGCGGACACCTGGGTTTTATTTAATATAGTCCTGCACAATCAATACATGTACTGTATCTTATAACGACCAATAATTGTTCTAGTTGAAAGCTAAAAGCAAGTGGCCAATTAGTGATCAGTTTAATAAATAAATACCTTCATACTTTTTCGGGTTTATGTGTGTGGACTGTAGAGGTTAAATAAACTCTGTCAAAAGAGAGACTCTGTAGTGATATGAAAAATGTTATTATAGGTGTGACTGGCGTATCATCTCTTCCTCTCCGCTTCCTCTCTCAAGGAGTTTGCTTTTAATTTTAAAGGTGACTTGATTATTTAATTGAACACAGCTTCATCATATTTACTAAGCTCAATGAACATTCACTTTTTAAAGTGAACAACCTCTATTCCTTTGGCAATTCAACCCCAATGATTTTGTGAGCTTCAAAATAATTTTTCTAATGTATTTCAAACATATCCCTAAACACAAAGCTTTAGTGTGGTGACACCTTGATGAGACCCAAACAGAAGAAATACAAGTCCATTTCCAGAACAAGAAAAAAATTATGTTTAATTATAACATGACATTATGATGATCAATCAAAATAGTTGATAATCAAATTTCTCTTTTATATCAAAGATTACAAATAGGTGCTTTATCTTTGCAAACCATTATAAGTAAGCTTCGCTCCTTTGATTTTCTTTCTTCTGTGAAGTTAGCCACGCAGAAATGAAGTTTACCTGCTCCCTCCACTACTGTAAATCAGCTGACTTGGATAATGAATTATGGTGCATCTTATCATTACTTTTTTCATAGTACCTACTGTCTAGAAGAGCATATGAAAATAAAATGTGGGGCTTAAAAAATCTTTAAACAAATGATTACAGGAAATAATAAGAATGCCAATGAGATATCTTTGTTTACTTTCTACCAATATTTAGAAAATGCTATTTTGAAAGTATTCAGTGGCAACATAAAACACCTCCAGTTTCCTTCTGTGTTAGATTTTAGAGCAAGATTTCAATGTCACCAACAGGCTGAAATAAGAAAGACAATATGTGGCTGAATGTCTATAGATGAAAGCAAATGGGAAATACACAGACATATGTACACACTTTATAGCAGAACGCCAACTAAATGATAAAATGAAAAGCTCATTAAATATAAAATAACAAAACCAGTTTTTGTTGCACTATATGCCACAAGATGTCCTCAGTCTGATGGTCAACACCATTCAACCTACATTTTCTGAGCTGAGGTTGTTTTGGACTTGTGACTGGACAATGAAAGTAGAAACAGTACAGTCTGAGCTTCTCTCTGTCATTTTGCTTTCTCCTCCCATCAGCAATGCTTCTTATCAGCAGAAGAACTAATTGCCTTCTGCTACTTTTTCTTCTCAAACTCCAACCCTGCTGTATGAGGCTAATACAAGATCAAATTCAGGTACTTACACTGGTTGCATTTAAAACATTTTTTAATGATGTAATAATGATTACAGAGCAGTATTAATTTGTGTCCTTTATGTCTGCATTAGTTCAGCTTTATTAGAGCATTTTGAATCATGAGTAAAAGGACCCACAGAAAAGAAATGGCAGTCAGAAGATATAAAGAATTACCCTTTTGCCGAAACAATTATTTTAACAACAAACTTCTCACAAGATTATATGTATATTTAACATATTCCAGAAATGCTTTTCACCTGTAAAAGCACACCTTGTGTAGACATCCAAAAGCCCTGAGACTGCTGCTGGATGCCCAGAGGAGCATCTACAACAAATTGCACCCCTGGACTCCTGCAGGGACGACCTCATTTGTTGCTAGGAGATGGGCAGGACACCAGCCAGAGTTTCCCAGTTTGCTAAGAGCTGGCCGGGGAGATGTGTTTGGGCCATACCCATCTCTCTGTCTGGCTCTTGGCAACCTATTACGCTCTGGCATCCGGCCCACATACACATCTCCTCCCCTTCTCTGGTTGATAAGAGTTGGGCGTGGAAATGTGTATGGCCCTTACACAACTCATCGCCCGGATCTTAGCAACCTGGGATGCTCTGGCTGTTGTCCCACCCAGCTCCTGGCAACCAGTGACGCCACAGAGTGTCCCTGGTTACTAAGAGCCAGGTGGGGAGATGTGTATGGGAGAGGGGTGGGGAGAGAAAAAAAGTCAGCTATGGGCCATACTCTGCATACACCATTGTGGTTGCCACCATCTGGGATGTGATGCCAGCTGCCCCAGTAGACTCAGAGCTGTCATTTTCAAGTGCCATTTTCTTCACTCTTACCCTGGCTACTACATAAAAGATTATGTAGGGAGGTATGGGGAGGGATAGAGTAGCCAGCACAGACAAGAAATATATACTCCCAAAAGAGTAGAGGTCTATAACATACATAGAGGGAGGGGGCTGGACTAGAGAATTGGGTCCTGTAAAGTAGTCAAAAGTGCTAGCATGTTCAGAGGCACATTGCAAGTTTAGCTGCTCTGGTCTGTGAGGTTCTGGGCTCCAGGTCGGATCCTACTTTACTGAGCTGCAGGTGACACATTTGTAATAATAGGTTAATATCTAATTTTTATACCAAGCTATTATCTTGGACTGCACTAAAACCAGAGAACTACCTAAACACAAAATTAGCAGTAGCTTCTCTGGCCAATCAGCTCAGTGATATGATAAAGTGAATCGAAATCCAAAAGCAAAAATAATATATGGCAGCTTACCGACTCTTAGGTCCCTTTCACACCAATATTGCGTATTGTATTGCGTATTTTTCTGCACTGAAACGCTCAAAACAAGAAATCCCATTCATTTCTATAGCCCTCGTTCACACCTGAGCGTAGCGCCGTGCATAGAAAAACGCCCGTAGCTGCAAAAGGTACTTGAGCTTTTTTTGGCCAGGTCAGAGCGATTTGTCCCCATAGACTTAATTGGAAATGCTTGAAAACGTGCGTTACAATTGTTGTTGCGTGCTTTTGCATGCATTTTGCCCATTTACATGAATGTGCTCATAAAAATGTGTGACTTTATATACACGCAAAAATGTGGGTAACCATGCAGAAATGTGTTAAAAAAAGTGTGCAATCCGCACTGAAACGCCATCGCCTGTCTGTGAATGAGGCCTTAGAGATGGTAGCTGCAGTTTACTTTTTTTGCTTTATTTTTACCTAATGCTCCAGCCTAAGTAAGTCCACTGTTTACCAACTTCCTTTAAACTTCCTTTGTCCATTTAACACTGACATGGATGTTTACAATGGACAAGAAAAAAAAACCTGTTACAGTAACTGCTCTCCATGTGCTGACAATGCTGCTGCTCAAGGGTGCCTGTGTTACTCCTCCATAGAGTAAAACAGCTCTAAGACAGGAAGTGTGTTACTGGATCACCATGTGGAAACAGAGATTTAAAAAAAAGCATAAAAAGCATAAAAAATAAAACTAATGCAGCCACCACATTTAAGGACTGGTAAACTGTAAACCAGCTCAGCTGTACTGATGGTAAGGGTTGCTGAGATGGGAGAAATGCCATTATGACTATTGCTTAGGAGCATGTATGCAAGATTACTGCTGGTCGGGCCCTGCTTAGGACTGGACTGGATCTGAGACAGATGTTCCTATAACCCATGATGTGTAATCAAAACTAAATATAAAGGTTATTATAATATTTTTATAAGTGTGTACAGTTTGTGTGTTATTATTCACTGGTACTATATCAAAAGGCTTAAATTGTATATATATCAGGTTTCTTTGGATCACTGCAAATTATCTTAAGGCGGATAGTGCCAAGCACTACAATGGGAGGTCCCACCAAGATTTGATCATTAAATTAAGAGTCCAAAGTGTTGAGACTCTTTATCTAAGGATCATAGGATCAAATACTACAACATGGCACTGTGGAGGGAAATTCCCTGCGATAGGTAATAGACATCAAGTAAGGAAGTACTATGCTTTTTATGTGCTGCACAATCCCCTGTACCCTCACAGCTCATTAAAAGTGGGGTCTCAGTGGATCTTACACACTCAGTGATCAGGGAGCCTGTGTATGTGGTGAACATCAACCCAGCAAAGTAAATCTCGGCATTTGCACTGCTTCATCTATAACAAAGCAAATTTGCTGAGGCTGACTTGTCTGTGGCTATGGCAATCTGCAATATTCGACGTCAAAAGCAGAGAGGCTCTGAAAACTATTTTAAGATACCGGACACAATACATAATGTTCCATAACCTCTGTTTCTAAAACTCAGAGCTATATTTACTGTTAAGTAATTCATTTCTTTATTGCTTAGTATAAATGTAATTTTCTTTATAAGATACATCACAAAATTGCATCATCTGTGTCACATAGGAAAACAAATTAGCAGTTGCAGTAAGCTGGCACTCTTTCTACTTATAAATCAGTTCATTTCCTTTTACAACTTTGGCATACTCATTTGCTGAATAGTACGGCGTTCTTGGAAGGTTCGCCTGCTCGAAATCCACATGGAACAATCCAAACCGGACACTGTAGCCAAAACTCCACTCAAAGTTGTCAAGAAGGGACCAAGCGAAGTAACCTTTCACATTCACCCCATCCTGTTTGATGGCTGCCAACAAAAAGAGACACAATTAGTTAGATATCATTAATGTGCAATATGTTAGCGCTGGTGGTGGATTGTATGTTATAGCTAATTTGACAGAAGATTATTGCCACCAATCCTATTCAGTTTGCTTTTAAAAAAGTTAAAGGAGAACTATGGGGTCAGGGCTTTGCCCCATAGTTCTCCTAAGTGTAACCCAAAAGCCTAAGGGTCAACCAAAGCTCAGTATACCACGAGCTACAGCTTGCGGTATACTGAGACACCGCAGCCAGGACGGATCCCGACAATACTGTCTGGATCCACCCAGCTGCGTGATTGACAGCTGGCTCTGCCTACCTAGAGGCAGAGCCAGTTATACCCGCCCCTTCACTTGTCCGTTCCACCAGTCAGTGCTGGAGGATGGGAGCGAGGAGGGGGGAATCCATGCAGGGAGCCGTGAGTGACAGTCACGGCTCTCTGCAGGGATAGATCGAGAAGTGAGTGAGCAACGGTATGTGTTTGCTCACTTCCCGATCTATTTAGCTGACCTGTGACAGTTTCATTGTCACAGGTCGGCTAGAACTATTAGGTGAGTGATTTTCACTCACCTCATAATTCTCATTTAACTTCTCAACCACTTTCTCTGGATAACAAAATGAAATACTCAGAAAACTCCACAAAGAGCAGAAAACCAGCTAAAGAAGGAATGGAAATGTTTAGAGTGACATTAAAGTCACACACCATGTTTTTCTTGTAGCTATTATTATCTAGTAAATAGCTAATTAAACAAATACACATCAATCCCAAGTTTTGATTAGCAATCTAATCTAGTTATGGGAATAGCCTTGTAAGTTTCACTTAGAGATTTTCAAGACCCTATTACAATTTAAAGGAGAAATATGGGATGAGTGAAATACACTCATCCCAATAGTTAGAGCCGGCTCTATTGGTCGAGAACTGAGCGATCACAAACCTCTGATTGCTCAGTTCACAATCTTCTACCTGCAGAGAGCGGTGACTGTTAGTCACCGCTCCCCAAACAGTTTCCCCTCCCCTCTCCATTCCTCCAGCGCTCATTGGACGGACAGATAGGGGAGGAGACGGGCACAGCTGGCTTTGCCTCTATATCTCTATATTTTCAGGATCCTTCCCGGCTGCAGTGCGGCTCTGCGCTGTCAGCATATAGGGAGCAATAGCCTGCTATATGCTGATTTTTGGGTCACAGGAGGACATTATTGGAAATGTACTCCTGTGACCCTAAAGAGAACTACAACCAAAAAAGGTTTGGCCACAGTTATCTAGTACTTTTTAAAGTTGAACTCAGGGAAAACCATGAAACTCCCATTGCAGTGGGGCTGCCCCACACTGCAAGGGTTAAATGCTTAAATCAAGGGTTCCTGGAAAGAGGACTTTTACTTGCCTGATCCCTGTCCCCAAAAAAGACTCCTTCCAGGCTAAAAGACCAGCACTCGCAGCCTCTTCCTCCCTATGCTCCAATGGTTGGAGGCCCACTGACGTCATCAAGTACAATGCAAGTCCTGCATTATACGTAAGAACACAGAGGGAAAGTTCACAAATCGGAGTGGAGACAAGGTGAGTGCCAACTGCTGGGGGAGCGAGGATCAGTTAAGTAAAACTGTTCTTCGCCAATACCCTAGACCCATTTGCAAAAGTATTCTGCAATATTTCTCATATGACATGTTCCCTATAAGTCCTTCTGGCTACATTAGCTCTCAGTATATGCCATTTACACTTCATACTTCAATTGACTCTCCTTGTACCTGAGCACAAATAATCAAAAGAGTGTACCCTTATTACCCTCATTATCACAATAAATGAGTGTTACCCTCATTTATTGTGTTATGACAGCCTTAAAGTGACATTTGGGTCACTTTACTGAAGGAGTAGATGATGTTCACCTAACAAAGTGAAGGTTCACTTTGCATAGCGTGTGTTAACTTTGTTAAGTGAAGTGTTTGTAAATGAGGCAAAGCTATAATCACTTTGAATACCAATTTTGTGTAAGGGAAATTTACAAAAAATACATATTTTTTTTAACGTGATTCAAAGTGAACACAACTTCACTGTGGCTAGACACAATTCTTCATTGTACAGTATCTGTAGAAGCAGCCCTGGTTGTCACTCAGCCTGGACTTCAAACATGTCTGCCTTTTTGCATCTCTATTACATGGTGGTGGGTGATAGTTTACAAAAGAAACATAACATTGTTTTATCTTCCAGTTCAGCTCACAGGAAGTGACATGGACACTACATTTCTGGCAAGATCAACGCTTATTTTTTGTACTGTCTTAGTCTAACAAATAAAAACTAATGCAGCCCCCACATCCATGGACCAGTACTCTGCAATGTATTACATTTTTGCTTTTGGGTTTAGCTATTCTTTAAATGGGTCTAGGTGGGGTTAAAATGTCACACTTCTCTTGTGACAGGTCCTCTTCAAAAATGCTAACCTAACTCTTAAATTAAACTCATAGACCCTATTCAATCTCCTTGAGCAGAAACCCTAAGACTGTTGATGTTGCTGTAATTCTTCCATCTTTTTTTTATTTACAAGAAAAATAATGTTTATATAAGACAGTAAAAATATAAATACCATCCATTTTCAGAACACTGAAGAAAAATGCAGACATCCAAGTACAACTTTTATAATCCATCCAAAGGAACCACGAGAAGAAAAAAAAAGGCAAAGAAATGTAATAGCGTGATATGCCAATATGATTTATGAAGCACTGAAGCAGTGAAAGTAAAGTAAAAAGCAACCTTTGTGTGTTCAACTTCTCCTTAAAACTGAGTGGAATTTTAAGATAACAGACAGAATGGAATGACTGTGGATCCAAGGAAACTGGAACAAATGTGATAAGCGCTGTTTTTTTCTCAAGTTTCAAGAACATTCACTCTTACCTGAAGACTGTATTAAGAAGAAAGAGAAGAAGGGAATAGGCAAGATCTATCACGCTATTCTTAATGTATCTCGCTAGCCACTTTTTTTTTGCTTCAACCATTTTAACATGTTATAGGACCTTCAGCTGCAATTATATTATGATTTAGAAAATTGAGTGATCTTTGCCCTGTGGGAGTTCCTGCTTCCTTTTAATAAAGTACATTGCAAAACTCTGTCACTTTTCTGGCTTCCCCACTATTTAAAGAGACATTGTCACTTTCCCATTCAGTCTCATTTGTCTTTTTTAAGCCCAACCCACTCAGTTACTTGACTTCTCCATGCATCATAGCCACTCCTTCCATCAGAGCCAAGAGTCAAACCTTGTGTAAGCTCTATGTCAGATGGTGTTTGAGCTTATGCATTGTTGATGATGTTATCCTCCTTCTTATGTGACAATGTTCTGGCCAGGCAATCGGCTGCTCAAGCCCCGTGCACTGCATACTGGCAGAAGGTCCCATGTTCCCCCATGCCCAGAAGCACCACCTCTTTTATAAAGGTTTCAACTGAATAACAGAAGAGCGTGGGGGGCAAGGTGACTATACGTGGGTCAGCGTGGGTCAGCGTGGGCTTTCAAGAATGGCTGAGCTGGTCAACTTACATTAGATAGAGAGGATCATCACCAAAAGGCCACACATAACATTCAGTGAATGTCATTCTACAGGAAACTGTCAAACTGTAGATGTGCAGCAGAAGATGGTCAAAGACTATGGCTACAACAACACAAGGTCATTTGCATAAAGAGGAAGCCTGAGGTTGTTGCCTCAGGCGGTATCTCTTCGGGTCACGTGGAGGTGCGGCAAGCAGAGCAGCCTGGCGACATGGTCACTCTGCTGCACAATGTTTGCAGTGTGCCTGCTGCTCCCTTTCCGGACAGAGTGTCCCAGGTTGCTAGGAGCTGGGCCATACACATCTGCCTGCTTGGTTCTTAGCACCCTGGGATGCTCTGGCCGGCACCCCAATTAGTTCAGGGACCTTATTGGTCGCCAGGAGTGGAGCTGGATGCTCTGGCTGGCATCTCTCCCCCCCAGCCTCCACCCCTGTGAGTGTGCACCACCGGCACTATACTCCCCCTTCCCCTTCACCGCCTCAGGCAGCAAAAAGGCTAGGGACACTGCTACACGCTGGCTAGGGACTAGGGACGCTAAGGCTAGGGACGCTGCTACAACAGACTGTCACAGCCTGCAGACATGCTGCAGCAGACAGAGACTACAAACACTCTATAGGAGTTGTTGAGACTAGAAACATGCTTCTGAAGCCAATTATAGACTGGAGATGCATGACTTGAGACTGAAAGAGATCGCTGTTATTACAGCCCCTTCACAAATCAGTGCTTCTACATCTGTGCTCCTAACAGGCCCCTTAAAATTAATTGTGCCGCATTTTATATTTCCCTCAGCAAAATCCATTATTAAAGATCAGAGGGAAAAAAAGAAAAAAAAAGAAAAAAAAAAGGATGAACAGCACATAAAAAGTATGTAGAAGCCAGTCTAAAGAATAGTTTTGCTTTGTTTGAGTAAGCTCCAAAACACAGACTACTGTCTGCAGGGGCTACAGTAAATGCAAAAGGGCTGCATGTTGGGCACTAGGGCTTTAAAATGTAAGTACACCCAAAAACAGTAGTTTAGTTTTATTTAGTCACTGAAGAACAAATTTTACAGAAACTGTAGAAAATCGTCCATAGGGTGCTTTACTGCATCTTACTGCACAGGGAAATTGGCGTCATTCATTTATCGTAAATAGATCAAAGTTGCCGGTCTGGTTTTTGTTCTGTTGCTGGGCATTCATCTGGAATGGTTGCACATTAGGGTGCATGTTAAGGGGCTTGTGGTAACGCAAAGCAATGAAATGGTAAAAAAAGGAAAATTGGTGTAATGTAATGGTGTAAATGTTTTTAAGTTGAATATACACATTACAGTTTGATACAATCACATTTAGATCTGAAAACAGAATACAAGCTGAATGGATTATTTTAGGTAGACCCTCACATCAAATAGGTTTTTTTTTACTCTAAAGGAGATTGTATGAAAAAGATACATTTATATTGTAACATGAACTGTATATCCAG